GTTTGTTATTTTAATGATGTGAAAATATTGAAAGAATTAAATTTATTTTTATTAATTTTTTAATTACCACGTCAGCCATTTAACGATCAACTATTAATAGTTGACTGTTACATCAGATAAAGTTAACGAAGAGTGACTAAATGTGGACCGTTTTACTAATTCGAGTGACAAAAATTGATATTAATTTTTTTTCAGTGACTTAACATGATACATTTTAGTAAACCTAGTGACCAAACTTGGCATTTATCCAAAAGTAATATAACTTGTTGAATATTAAAAAAACTATAATGTAGAGTATATTACATCATTTTCCTTGATTGTGTGTATATTACAATGCATTGATTTAAATATCACCAAAATCAAACGACCCCATAGTTCCACGGACACACAACAAAAAACTCCAGTTTATTGTTAATTGAAATGGATTTTTTTTGGGTAGAAAGATAGACGCATTGCGTCTAGGTCGCATTACTAAAATAACGATCATGGGAAATTCCCAGAACATCATGGCGAAGCCATTGGACAAGGTCCCTATCACACACATTGAAGGGATGTGTGCCAAAATCAAAGTCATGAGCCTTGCTTACCAAGTAATCGGCCGCAAAATTAGCTTCCCTAAGAACATGGGAGATACAGACACCCCAATCGATATTTAAATAAAACATAAACTGTCATGCAAGATTCTCATGCCTATGATCATTCTTGTGTCGTTGTTTAATGATCTCAATAGCAGTCAAGGAGTCGAGCTTAAGCGGGACCATTCGATACCTTTTTTCCAGGCAACCTTGAGTCCTTCCATGGCTCCTTTTAGTTCTGCATCAGTGATGGAATAAGATCCAATATTGCAAACATAAGCGCCTTGACATCTACCCAAGTAGTCTCTAAAGAGTCCTGCTGCACTCTCCCAAATTGAGTAATAACTGAGTCGTCGGATTGCAATTGGATTCAACCTTCCTCCGGTGCATCCCATCCCACAAGCATGCTATGGCTAGTGCTTGTACTGACGTTGGTGGTCTTTTGGATGCTTCTTTGAGCCTGTTCACAATGATGAACCAAGCCTGTATTCTTGCAAGTAATCCATTCCTGGAGAACACCTTGACATCCATCGCCTCCTCATTCCTTTGCTTCCGTAGCTGCCAAACAATAATTCCAAAAGCAGTAGCAGTTTCCTGCTGTTTCAGATTGACCATCAACCATTCATGAAAAGGGAGGATCATGTTGTTGCCCACACTTTTGCTCTGTAGTTTTTCCCACACACTTCTAGCTTTGCTACAGCTTCTAAGAATATGCTCAATTGTTTTTTCCTGGTCTTTGCAGAAGTTGCATTGGCTGTTAGTTGTGATATTTCTTTTTCGTCAGCTCCTTGTTTGTGAGAAGCATGCCGTGCAAGACAAGCCAAAGGAAATGTTTGACTTTACTAGGGCCCTTCCATTTCTAGAGCTCTTTCCAACATCTATCAGGTTCTCTATCATCATTCTCAGCAATAAGGTTGTAGGCTAGGCTGACTTCAGTCTGAAATGACCATCCTTCTCCAATCCCCAGATGGTGATGTCCTCTCCAAGGCTAGGGTCAGGTCTCTCCATACCTGCAATGGCCGATAGCATAGTATTAGGAAGGATCAGATTGAGTTTTCCTAGTCCCACTCACCTTCCTCTATGATCTAGTCAGCCACCATAGAGTTTTTGTCCTCCTCAGAAAGATCCACCAAAGCATAGTCTTCCAGCATGATGTTACTGTCCACCCAAGGATGGGTCCATAACTTGGTGGACTGGCCATTCCTTATACTCCAGCAGGTAGCATGCTTCATGATGTTCCTTGCTTTGACAATGGCCTTCCAAGATTGGAGTGATTACTCTTCTTCATTGAAAGGATCTTCCCATTACATTGCTTGAAATATTTTCCCTGCAACACTTGAACCCACAAATCAGTGTCCTTGTTCAGCATATTCCACCCAAGTTTAATCATATAGGACGTGTTCATATGCCTAGCAGACTTTAAACCAAGACCACCTAGCTCCTTAATTTACATATATTCTCCCATGAAACAAGGTATGTTTTCCTCTTTCCATCAATGGTTCCCCACACAAAACTCCTAACTTTCCTATCTATGGTATCACAAATAGAAGCTGGGAGGAAAGTGGTTTGCATTGCATAGGTGGGAAGAGCATTCAAGACAAAAGTGGCAAGGGTGACTCTGCCAGCCAGGAAGAGTGTTATGGCCTTCTAGTTGGTGAGTTTCTGGTCAATTCTATCAATGATGTATTTGTAAGTGGTTTTGGCAATTCTGGCATGGATCACAGGGACACCAAGGTATCTCCCTAGATCCAAAGTGGCTTGAATTCCCATTCTCTTACAAATTTCAGTTATGCAATCTTTCTTGACATTTTTGGAGAAACGCACTCTGGATTTTTCTTTGCTAACAGTTTCATCTGAGGCTTCACAGAAACAACCAATACATTTGAGCACTGTGTCTGCCTATTGAGGGTTAGCTTCAACAAAGAGCACAAGATCATCAACAAAGAAGAGGTGAGACAGGCCAGACCCCTTGGTGACAGCCTAATGGGGTTCCAAGTTCCATTTTCTCTTCAAAATCAATGCAATGGCTTAATCTTTCAACACAAAGGGTAAAGAGATAGGAAGAGAGGTGACATCCCTGTCTAAGTCCTCTAGTTGGTCTGAAGCTCTTAGTTTATCCTCTATTCTAGAGTACTTGGTAGCTTGTAGAAGTCACACACTTAATGATAATGTTAATGAGGTTATCAGGGAGTTTAGCAACTTTAAGAGTTTCTTACAGGAACTCCCAGTCAATTCTGTCATAAGCTTTGGCAAGGTCCACTTTCAGGATCACGAAGCCAATCCTGCTACTTTTTCTTGCCATTGAATGAATGGTCTCCTGCAAGATAATTATGTTATAAAAAATGTGGCGATTAGGAATAAAGCTAGACCGATTCTTGTTCACCAGATGGAGCATCAGTTTAGCAATCACTCTGTAACCAACACTGCACAAACCGATTGGTCTAAAATGACTCATCGAAGTGGGACTTTCCACTTTTGGAATCAAAGTAAGGAGAGTCTCATTAATGCATTGAATTCTACGAGGGTTCCTGAAGCAGGAGGAGATGAAAGCACAAAAATCTCTCCCCACAGAGCTCCAGCATTTTTGGTAAAAGATGGCATGGAAACCATCTTTGTCTGGGGCCTTCAGGCCATTCATATCCAGTGTCACACTTCTAATCTCCTCAAAGCAAGGAAATGAATTCAGGTCAGACATCAAACAACTCTATAATTCAAGAAAGTTAGCAGGGAAATTATGTCCAGCATCAATGATATGCTTAGTAAACAGTTTCAGAAAATACTCTCTGGCCATGGTGAGGAGTGAATCAGCATCCGCAATCCAATGTCCCTAGTTGTCATGAAGGCAAGTGATCTTGTTCCTCTTTCTTCTACTTAGAGTGCTGGTGTGAAAGAAGCGTGTATTCAGATCACCAAACACCACCCAGTTAGTCCTTGATTTTTGTATTTGGAGTAACTCCTCCTGCCAAAGTGTTTCCTCTAGTTCCTCCCTAGTTTGTCGTTCTTTGTTAATGGATCTGGTTGATGAACTTCTTTCATTTATCATCTCCAGGGACTTGAGCTCAGACATGAGTCTTTTCTTCCTTTGAAAAATGTTGCCATACACTTCCTTATTCCATTTTGTAGGTCTTTTGAGAGATGCTGTAGAGACAGATTGAAATCCTCTCCACTCCTCAAGGAAGACTACATAAAAGCTGGAAAGTCCTCATGAGTAAGCCATGGTGCAAGAAACTTAAACCTCCTTACCAACTTCTGTTTCACCATCTGGTTTGAAGTACAAGTCATGATTGGGCGATGATCTGACTTGATCTTTGGCAAATGGAAAGTGATTGTTGAGGGGAACATGTGCTGCCGTTCAAGGTTACACAGACTGCAATCCAACGTCTCTTTAATGCCAAAATTCCTTGTGAACAAAGTAAACTTGGGTCCAGAAAACCCGAGGTCAATCAACCCGCAGTCCTCAATGCATTCTTTGAAAGCATGAACTTTGGCGAAGCTAAAAGCAAACACCTGCTTGCTTGTCACAAGCCCTAGCAATAAAGTTAAAGTCGCCTGTCATTATCCAAGGGAGGAGAGTGGTCTTCTCGAGATTTCTTATCGAGTCCCACAGATCCACTCTGTCATGTTCATTTGGACTACCATACACCACTGTCAATTGGAATCTTTCCTTCAAAGCAGAACAACATTTGAGGTTGAAAAAATGCTTATGAGTGTCAATATCTTAAAGCTTCATATCACACTCGTTCCAGAGGACCCAAATGCCACCAATGAACCCAATAGCATCAGAGACAGTTGAAACATCAAAACCAAGATTCTTAATAACCAAAGTGGCATCCTTCCCCACTGATCATGGATTCAAGAATACACATAATATCAGACTTATTAGTAGCCGTGTACAACATAAAAGTGGACAGAAACTTAAGGTGCTTAGCACCCATGCAGTTACACGAGAAGACCTTAACCATAACGAAAATGGTGAGAGCTTCCCTACACAGGCTACTTTTTTCTTGGTGAACTCCAAGGTTACTTTTTTTTATATCAAAATTTTGTTTACTAATAATAATTAGATTTACTTAAAATAAAAGGAAGATAAAAGAGGAGGGTATATCCCATCCGAATAAATCTCATCTATCAAGGACCGGCCCACAAAGGTCAGCATCATTCATGGCAATGTCGATATTGCCATCCACTTCCGTGGGCAAATAATTACCTGCGTTTATCCAAATGCAGGAAAATTTTCCAATTAATCTTTATAATCCGCTGCCAAATTAGTTAAATAAAGGAAAAATAATAAATGATTTCCCACAATTCAGACGGACGCCAAAAAGGGATTTAAATCCAGTTGAAGCCACTCGGTCCCGTCCCTCCCCTCCGTCCGTAGACGCACCACAGACAACAGTACTCACTCTCTCCATCTCTCTCTAAACAATTGCACTTCGCAATAATTCTTCCCTTCAGCCGTATAATTTAATAACTCAGCCTCGTCCAATCAGCGTTGCTCTCAGTCTTTCTATCGCTATCTCGCTCTGCTCTCTTCTCCAATAAAGAGAGAAAAATAATTCTGGGGGGGAGAGAGAGAGGAGTGGAAGAAAGAAAGAGTTCGCTGCAGTTGTCAATAAGGAGAACCAGAAGAGAAGGAAGAGTTAAGTGAGACAGTGGTTTACGTAACAAAGTCGTCGTCTTTGCTCTGGCGTCGCGGTGTGGCGATCGTCGTCGTGTAGTGTAAACTAATCCCTCTCTCGCTCTTTTCTCCTTCTGGGCTTTCTTAGCTTTTTTGCTGGGTTTTCTGCTGCTTGCTGGTTTTTTGGTTCTCCGTTCGTTGATCGTTGCTGCCACGCTTCTTCTTTTTAGTGTTTTCTCTTTTTGCCGTTTAGAGGGGGGGTTTTCAGTCTGTCGGTTTCGTTGAATGCGGGTTTCTATTGAACTGGGGTTTGGTGTTTGCCAAAATTAAATTTGTTTTTTTGGAGTGGTGAAATGCGGGTTTGTGAATCGGGGGAGGATTGGAAGTACGGAATGAAATTTTGCTGTTTTCAGGCCATGTCGGAATTGGGGTTCTTGCTGGTGTGCTGAAATTACATGGTGACAGTTCTTTTTTGGGTGAAAAAGAGATTCATCCTTTGTCCAAGGAACCTACCTCTTGTCTTTTCTCAACCACTTAGATAGTTGAATACGCTTCCTGCCCGTTTTATCATCTCTCTTTCCTTTCTGGGTTCAGATCAATTTAACTGCTTCTCCTGCCAACAGGTACACGTGATGCCTTTTCCTTGCTTGTTTAGAACGCCTCATCCTAGCTTTCTCAGTTAGCAGCTCTTGCCAATGTATGTGCTTTAAGTCGATGGTGTGTTTATAGAAATTAGTTTGAAGATATATGATTTGCTTCAGAGCCTAGTTTGGCGTGGTTGCTTTGGCAGTGCATTCGTTTGAGGATTCACGGTTGGGAGTATTGAGGACATGCTTTATATGAGTTGTTTATCCCCCCTCCCACTGTAGCATGTATGGTCAGTTGTTTCCGCTGGGAAACTGAGCTGACGGGCATTCGACTGTATGAATGAATTTGCTATTATGACTATTTTAATGTTTCTTTTTTGTTTTGTTTTTGTACGCTGATAAACAAATTATACCCTCCTTTTCTTTTGATCTCTGAAAGTTGTGTATGAGCTTTACATATAAGTTTCAACCCTGGTCATTTGGTAATCTATTTGAATCACTGCCTGTTATTGTTCTATCAGCTAGTCAAATGCAATGAAGCAGCATTCACATAGCTTCTATCCTGGTAGTTCGTTTTGGATGATTTTCAAGTTTGTTAATGATTCTGGATTATGTTATGTGTCTCTCTAATCCAATCTTATGTGTCATCTGCATCAGGTCCCACTATGATTCAGCCTGTGAATATAAGTAAACCCGTAGGGAATGGTGGATATGGAATTTTATCCAGATCTGATACTCACAATACATCAAGCGATGTTTCCCTTTTCTCTAGCTCGTTACCTGTTCTACCACATGAGAAGCGTATGCCTCTTTCTTCTTTCCAGATATTATTTTGTGTTGTTGTTTCTTTGCAGCTATTTGACAGTGCTTTACGTTTGCAGTGAATTTGGAAGAGACAGATCATGGTCACCAGTCAGTTGATGATGTCTCTGCTGGTGCTGAAAAACTTCGCCAAAATGTGGAGAACCCTGATATAGTTCGAAACGGAGAAGCTGGTTTTGCTGGTACTCTGCTTCCTGATGACGAAGATGAGCTCTTAGCTGGGATAATGGATGATCTCGATCTGTCTAAATTACCATTATCTCTTGAAGACCTAGATGATTATGATCTTTTTGGCAGTGGGGGAGGAATGGAACTAGAAATGGACTTGCAGGAAAGCCTGAGCTTAGGTATCTCGAAATTTAACTTGTCCGGTGGTGTTGCTGGGAATGGAATTTCTCAGTATGGTCTTCCAAGTACTGCTGGAACGGTTGCAGGGGAACATCCATACGGCGAACACCCTTCAAGAACACTATTTGTCCGTAACATTAACAGTAATGTCGAAGATTCTGAACTCAGGGCTCTGTTTGAGGTATAGCATAATCTGGCACTCTTAATTTTTAGGGTTGTTTCTGAGTTCCTGATGCATTTGGGCCTCTCGGTTTATCCATCCAATGCCAAAGCATTGAAACCTGTTTCTTTAAATGATGTAATGCAGCAATATGGTGACATTAGGACTCTGTACACTGCTTGCAAACATAGGGGTTTTGTGATGATATCTTATTACGACATCCGTGCTGCTCGAACTGCAATGCGTGCATTACAAAACAAGCCACTGAGAAGGAGAAAACTCGACATTCACTTCTCAATTCCTAAGGTAAAGCCATTTGAGTAACATAAGAAGATGTAATTTGTGTCTGTGTTTCCTGAGTTCTTACAGTCACCCTGATTTTACATTTTAGGATAATCCCTCTGAGAAGGATGTCAATCAAGGAACTCTTGTAGCTTTCAATCTGGATCCATCAGTGTCAAATGAAGATCTGCGTCAGATTTTCGGGGTCTATGGTGAGGTTAAAGAGGTAATTTTATTTCTTTTTTCACATTGTTGCATTTTATTTCCATAATTTACGAATCTTTCTGAACTGAAATGCTCTCTATTTCACTCAGATCAGGGAAACACCACACAAGAGGCATCATAAGTTCATCGAATTTTATGATGTTAGGGCTGCAGATGCAGCACTTAAGCAATTAAACCGAAGTGACATAGCTGGCAAACGCATAAAGCTAGAACCCAGTCGCCCTGGTGGTGCTCGTCGAAAGTAAGTGTATTGATCTAATTGCAATAACATAATGCTATTTGATATGCTGTTAAAACATCCCTGTATGTATGTCGTATAACCCTGGTGATCAAACCATGCACAATCTGTTGTTCTATTATGGTCTTGAATGTACCTATCTTTCTGTTAAACCTAGTTTAGTATGTGACCTTCATAGAGCCTCCCTTACCATGTTTCTATGAAAGTAAATTTCTTTTTTATGTTTATTTAACTTGCTTCATTAGTTTCTTGTGCTACTTCTCTCCTTTTTTACTTTTACCGCTCACCCTACTTATGTTTTTCTTTAGCTGTTATGGTGGTTTGATCATTGGGGTTCCATCCAGACTAATCTCTAGTTGATTGCATCCTTAATTTTTCCTGTTTCACCTTGCAGTTTGATGTTGCAACTGAATCAAGAGCTTGATCAAGACGAGCCTCGGAGTTTCCGCCATCCAATGGGTTCTCCTGTAACTAACTCTCCGCCAGGTGTGCCATGGTTAAAAACTTGTTACATTTGTACTTTCTGGAAATTTCCTTCGAACTAATTTGGAACAAATTATGGCAGGTAACTGGCTACAGCTCAACAGTCCAATAGAACACAGCCCTTTAGAGAGTATCAGCAAATCACCTGTTTTCAGGACCATGAGTCCAACTCATAGTAGCCATGTCTCTGGGTTGGCTTCCATTCTTCACCCTCAAGTATCGAATGCGATGAAAGTCGCACCAATTGGGAGAGAGCATGGGAGGAGTAGCCTTTCCCTCCTTGGATCTGCTTTTCAACAATCCCACTCATTACCTGACTCAAAGTTGAGCCAATTTCATGCAAGCATGTCATCATTGGGTCCTTCAACATCAAATGGATCAGTTATGGAAACATTATCAGGCCCACAGTTTCTTTGGGGAAGTCAGAACTCTCATTCGGAGCAGCATACCATTTCTTCCTCGGCCTCTTCAGCGTGGCCAACGCCTTCATCAACACGACATCCTTTTCCATCCAATGGGAAGGGACATGCGTTGCCATTTTCAGGTTGGCATGGTTCTTTCATGGGTCACCAACAGCATCATCATCATGTTGGTTCTGCTCCATCTGGAGTCCCTCTGGAGAGGCACTTGGGCTTCTTGCCAGATTCACCAGACACATCATTCATGAACCCCGCAACTTCATTTAAAGGAATTGGTATGGGTCACAATGATGGAAACTTCATGATGAATATGGGCATCCCTCGTCCTCTAATGAATGGAGTGAATAATGTTTCAAGAACCTTAGCTGACAATGGTGTTTCTTCGAGTTACAACAGAATGATGACTTCTTCCCCAAGGCTTAGTCCTGTTTTCTTAGGTAGTAGCCCATATGCAGCAGGACTTACATCCCCTAGCATGGATAATTTTATTGACCGTGGTAGGAGTAGACGGATTGAGACTAATGGGAGCCAAGTTGATACCAAGAAGCAGTTCCAGCTTGACTTGGATAGGATCATGAATGGGGAAGATTCTCGAACGACACTAATGATAAAGAATATACCAAACAAGTAAATTTCACTCTCTGTGATCCTTACTAGTGTTTCAGATGGTTATTACAGTAAGATAAATTTTGTTTATGTGTCTTATACTGTTCATAGGTACACTTCTAAGATGCTGCTTGCTGCAATTGATGAGAAGCACAGGGGTACTTATGATTTCCTCTACTTGCCCATTGATTTTAAGGTATCAACACTGGGCATTTGGTAGTATATTTGTTCTGTATCCTGTTTTCTTGTTATCTTTAAGTTATCACTGATGGCCTTTTCTTGCCTGCTGCAGAATAAATGCAACGTGGGCTATGCATTTATCAATATGTTGTCTCCTTCACACATCGTCCCATTTTATGAGGTAAGATATCAGTTATTTTATGCCATGTCTTATTTGACTTTCATGGTCTTTTTCACTGAGCATAGGGCTTATCGTTTGTGATTCTATGCAGGCATTCAATGGTAAGAAGTGGGAGAAGTTCAATAGTGAGAAAGTTGCTTCCTTGGCATATGCTAGAATCCAGGGAAAGGTAGCTCTTGTCAACCATTTCCAGAACTCCAGTCTTATGAATGAAGATAAACGCTGCCGCCCAATCCTGTTCCATTCAGAGGGTCAGGAGTTGGTTGATCAGGTATGGAATTCCAGTTGAAGAATAACTCCTTTCAAGGGTGTATTTGCTTTAGCTTAAAAAAATGTTAGAAGAAGTGATGATAAAGTGTGCTTGGTTGAGTACTTGAGTTTCTTGTTTCAGTTGATCAGTTTCATTTCTCTTCTGCAGATCATTCACGACCATCTGCACTCGAACACTTTGAACATTCAGTTCCATCAGCCAAATGGTTTATATTCCGGGGATTCTCCATCTGGAAGTCCTACTGATGATTTGCCCTTTTGATAAAAGATGATAGTGAAGGGGAAGGTGGGTGGGGATGCCATTGGCCTGCACTGTATTGATCGTAGGGCATGGGGCAAACTAACTATTTTGCGTGTATAGTTTTCCGAGTGTACAAATGTTAAGAGGAAGAGAAGAAAAAGGAGAAGAAAAAAGCAAGTTACTTGCAGGTTTGTGAATTGTGTATAGAGTATTGATGACAGGTTTAGAAGAAGGGCAACAGAAGCATTTTGGGATTCCCATTTTGTCAACCAATAATGGTTCCTCTGTAGATCAAAAAGGATAAAAAGATGACAGTTGAAGCACTCAAACTTGCTGCTGCTGACCACCAGCTTTTGTATGGCATGTTTTTTGTGTTTCCTGTTTCCCCATTTGTGCCTGGGGCAAAATGATGTACTTTCCAATTGTTCTACAGAATTGTACAGCGGTGACAGAGAAACCCTTTCTGGGACTTAATTTATGGAACTGTATAAGAGTAACAATTCCTCTTTACTACAAGGTGTTTTATTGAAATGTGAAAAATATTAAAGTACATAATTATGTGATTTCACATTCTGTCGATCTACACGTTTCTTTATGTCCTGATTGGAACTATAATGATTTACATTGCTCGAGAGTTTTATAGAAACGGATTGAATTGTAACCGCTACTCGGTGCATTTTTTTCCATATTTATTATTTATCCTTGATAGTAGTGACTAATCTCCAGTGACACTAACACTTGTATGTCATAATTACTTATTCGTCCATAATTTGCCTTACTCAATTTTAACTTTTAAAACTTGATACTTGTTGAAGTCCTTTCGATCCGCCCTGTTCTCTTTCGTACCGGGCCCTCGCCTACGTGAATCGACCTGCACAAACAGAGGTGGGCCTCGTGGCCCGTTAATCCTCCAACGCTCAAGTCTGTCTTTTTCTTAGTGAGAGAAGTGCTTGCTACTCCAAATTTTAGTGAGAGAAGCCAAATTGAGTAAATGCTTACCAACCATCCTATTTATAACTATTCATAGCCTATCATGGCCTTACCGTACGGGCTTCCACGTCATCATCGCATTTAATGCTCCCGTCGCCCTAGGCGCCTAGTTTGATGCCCTTAACCGTGTGCCCAACATCGGGCGCCTAATGAGCATCGGTCCATGCCGCCACTTCTTCAGGCGTCCCGATTACAGCACCTATTCTATCATGAAAGGCTAGGCTCCCGACTTTATCTATCTGACCTCTTTTCGCACGCTTTTGGGCTTCTTTAGGCGGGCCTTGTTTCTCTTTAGGCTTCCTTAAGGCTCGCCTTCCTCATATTAGGCTTCTCCACAGACCACAAGCTATATCAATTATCAAGTCCGAATACCCCCAACAATTGCCCCCCAGTTAGATGCTCAAACCCTACACCTTGAGCGCCTAACTAAACGTTTTTTTTCTCCCACTCGTCGCAAGTTTACCCGCCTTACCTCAATCATGTTTATCAGGACGCCAGTATTTTTCCCCCATACCCCTGTAATGAACGAAGCCAACGGCCTGCAGCCGAGGCGCAAGACGCCCGTACCTCCTCATCATTCTTTCCACCTTGGTCACTTTCATTCGAGGCGCCATAAGACGCCTTCCTGACCCGCCCTAACTTTATACTGGGCGCCCATACTGTGTTTTCCTTCCGCACCTCCTTCTTGGGCACCTTGGATATTTCCGGTGCTAAGTGGCCTTTTTCTTTTTGGCTCATCAACCAAAGGCGCCCCCTCCTTCTTTCACAGTTTACGCTCGGCGCCCCTCTCGCTATGAAATCTCATCTTAAGAGTGAAGGCGCCCCCCGATCCCTTCCAAAAGTAAATTCTCGGCCGCCCCCCGTTATTGAAGGCGCCTCCCTCGCCCCCTTCCTTCTTCGTGATTTACTCCTTTCGCCCCTCTTCCTCAGATCCTGCACAGCCCCACTTTCGAAGGTGCCTCGTCTCCTTTGCTTCCCCCTCGGCAAAGCCGCCCAACATACCTGGATCGCCCTAGCCGCCTCTCGAACTTTAAAGGCGCCTCCACTCGCATCCCTTTGTTGAAGCGTCTCGTGCTCTCCCCTGCTGCCCCCTCACAATCGCCAAATTTGCCTTTCAAATTGTGCGGTTGGGATTGAGCCACGTGGCCGCCGACACGATTACCGAGGCGCGGTCGCATTCTTTAAATGTGAGTTGTTTCTCTCCATTGTTTCTCATTCGCCCCTAATTGCCTTCTCACTCTAGTTTCTCTCTCTGCCGTGTCTCTCTTCCTGCTCCAGCGTATTATTCTTCTCGCCGGTATGTCCAACCCAGCCGATGCTGCCGCCGCGGGCTCCTCTCAGGACCAAGGCGGCCCGTCAAAAACCGGTAAGTTTTTTGTTGTTGTTTTTGCGATGGAGGCGCCGCTTATTTTTCCGACGATTGTGTCCGCCTGCTTGACTTGTTTTAGAGGGGGCGCCCGAACTGTCACCCATACCGATGCCTTCATCGAACTACTATGTGCCAGAAGATGGGTCATACAAGATGACCACATGGGAAGGCACCTGGCCGCCTGAGTATGCGCCCTGGGAGACAACATGCCTGCCGACGAACGTGGCAGGGCCTGAACATAACTCAACCATATAAGCCTCCTGGATGACTAGTCTGATCACAGGGCTCGGGCTCCCTCACACCTGGACGTATGCGCCTCCCTCTCCCATTACTAGGGTGGGGTTGCGCGGTCCCCGCTGGTTGGGTATCTACCAGGAGTACTTCCGGTTTGGGCTCCGCTTTCCTATAGATCCAATATTGGAGGGTATTCTGGACTACTGCGAGTGTACCATTGGGCACCTATCTCCCTCAGTGATACTGATTGTCGTGCTCTTCAAACTGAAGTGCCGGACTTACAACGTGCGCCCGACCTTCAACCTTTTTCGTCACTTTTTCTCGGTGACGCCGTGAGACAACTGCATGTCGTTGAAGCGCCGCAAGAAATTGCGCGCCCATTTCGTGACACGGTGCCCAAAACTGGGGCGTACTTGGTTCACGGGCTTCTTCTTTGTGAAGGCGCATAGGGACTATTTCTTTGAAAGTGGAGGCGCCTTTAGAACTGACTGGGAGCTTGGTACTGAGAAGCGTTTCAACGCCGCCATCACACTTAGCCGAGAAGAACGAGATGGCGCCGCACTCATTAGCTCCTCGCCTATAGATTTGCGCCCTACTAGCGCTCGGGCGCCTATTTTAGAGGAATATTATGGAGATGGTGTGTTGGATGCCTTTTTGCGTGTTGTCTTTTTTCAGGCGCCTTGGCTAATCGTTCGTTTGTTTGCAGGTACCAAATATGCCCGAATTGCCGACTTGATGAAGAGTCGCTACGACAAGATGACCCAACAGGCGCCTCGGCAAGGAGCGGCCAACCCCGGGAAGGCGTCTCCCGCCTCAGTCTCCACTCCTCAGCCGGCCATGACACCGGTGGAGAAAGGAAAAGGGAAGGCGCCCGGGGAAAAGCCAGCCAAGACTTCAAGTGTGGCGTCTACACCGTCGGGCGTGGATGCAACTGAGGCCCGCCCTCTGATCGTTGCCTTGGACGAACAAGAGGAAGAAGAGGAAGATGAGATGCCCTTGCTTGCCCGCGGGAAGAGAACCGGCGCCCGACTAACCAACCAAGGCAAGAGACAAAGGTCAAGCAACGAAGAGGCGCTCGAGATCACAACGCAAGCAGAATAAGGCGCCCAAGGGCAAGGTGCAACCCGCCCCAACCGCTACGCCATAGTGGAAGGACGCCTACTTGGCCCAGATGGGAAACCGCCCATGCTTCAGCCGAGGCGCACCGAAATGGGGCGCGTTGCCCTGGCCTGCTCCCCGCGAGCAGCAGTGGATCGTGGGTGCGCAATGGGCCTGGCCCTCTCGGCATCGCAACTACTGCAGGTGCCCTCTGAGATCTCGGAGGATCATCCTTGGGCCGAAGTTGCCCGTATGGGTGCCAAGGTAGGTCTAAGTGCGCCTTTGCTTCCCTTGCATGTATGCTTACCTATAACCCCTTAACTTGGGAGGCTTATGTACTTTGCCCTTTTCTTGTGCGCCCATTTACTTGCAGATGCTCCTGCTCGCTGAAGAAGGCGCCTAGAAGACAGACGTCGCTGTTGAAGAGTGCCGCGAAGCAAGGGCGTCTCTGTCCTCTATAAAGGACAATCTCAAGACTGTCACCACACGCCGCGAGCAGCTCATCAAAGAGTGCGAGGAGGCGCAACTAGAGGCGGCCAAGCAAATATCTACACTTCAAAGCACCCTGGAGGAGGAGCGCCGCCAACGAGACACCGACTTTGCGTCCCGCATGGCGGAGGAGCGCCAGGAGTTCGAGCGGAAGCTAGCCGCCTTGGAGGTGGACAAGGAGGCGCTGACCCAGGACTTGGGCGCTCGGGATAAAGAACTTGCTACCTTGCGGGAGGAAAAGGCCTCTCTTGAGGACGAGTTGAAGGCGGCTGCCTACCGCCGGGGAGACTACAAAAAGGCTTTGAGGAGTGCCCGCAAAGAAATAAGGGCGCTGAAGGCGTCTCTCAGGCATTTCCCTAACTTGGAGGAGGGGCAGGAGCTGATTGCCAAGGCGTCTCTGGACAGCTTGGTGCTCGCCAAGAGGAAACTCGATCAAGAGTACCCCGACATCGCCGTGGACTTCTCCGCCCTCGTGAACTTTGTTATTGAAGAGATGCAGAATGAGCAAGAGGAGGCGCCTGAGGGGGGTGAAGCGGCTCCCACTGGGAGTGGAGAGGCGCCTTCTCCGTAAGGAAGCGATTCCTCGATAGAAGATGCATCTTCGGAGGCAGAGTAGTTTAGGCCGCCTTCACTTGTGCACTATGTACCATGGATTTGGATTGCTTTCCCTTCCTTTTTTCATAAACATGCAACTTAATTTTGGGCGCTTCGGCTTCAGGCGCTTATCATTTTGTATCGCTTATCAGTTTATTTGGGCGCGTATCTTCGGGCGCAATCACTTTCTTTCGTTGGGCGCATAATTCAATTGGGCGCATAATTTATGGGCGCATAATTCAGTTTTCTCTCCTGCAACTTTTATTTGGGTGCCTAATTTACGGGCGCTTACACTTTCTTCTTTTGGGCGCATAATGTATTTGGGCGCATAATTTACCAACTTGGATTACTTTCCCATCCTTTCATAACTGGGAGCATATTTTACGGGCGCTTTATCGACATTCGCGACGTAATGTTTGGGCGCATAATTTATGGGCGCTTTACCGGTTTGCATTGCCATCCTCTCCTGCAACTTTTATTTGGGCGCATTATTTACGGGCGCTTTCACTTCCTTCCTTTGGGCGCGAAATGTATTTGGGCGCATAATTTACCAACTCGGATTACGTTCTCATCCTTTCTTTCATATTTTACTTGGGCGCATATTTTACGGGCGCTTTACCGACTTTCTTGGCTCAATGTTTGGGCGCGAATTGTTACGAGCGCGCTCCGGAGCAAGTTTCAATAAGCACAAGGGCACCATTCTAGGAGCGTTTTCATTAACACAAACAGTGAATACACGATACGAGGCGCTGAACACGACAAGCGCTTGGGTTACACGTACACACATACAATCTACTAACTTGCTCCTTCA